TCATAATGGGTCGATCCAGCCATTAATACTGTCTGGTGACACCAGACACATTTTTAGCTGCATACTTAATTACGCTAAGATAGTGTAGTTGCGTCATATTGTGATTTATTAAATTAAAATTAAATTATTTGGTTATTCCGTCAAATCACAATGTATTTAAAATAAGATAATTAACTAAAAAAATAAGTTTTTGCGTTTGCATTTCTGAATTTTTAAGCACGAAGTGCATAACGAGGGGAGATGGTGTATGTCCTTGGTTGCGGAAACTTTCTTCGTCGAAAATCGCATAGGAAAGCAAACGGTAAACTCATTTATAAATTCCGTCTACTTCAGGGAGAATTTTAAACAACGCAGGGTCGCATGCAAAAGTGGTCAGTAGAAATGTTTAAATTAAGAGCTGGTTTAAACTGTCTTTTTTTTTTTGCTTTTATCCTTGGGTTGTTCTAATTCGCTACATAAATAATAAAATAAACGAAATAAATAGTATATATTTATTTTCACAGTCTATACACAAACGTTGTAATTAAATGATGTTGTTAAAATTATATAATATTAAAACATTATGTAGTATAAAATATTATATTTTGTAAAATCGTATTTACGATAAAAAGCGCCAAAATATAATATTTTATACTACATAATGTTTTAATATTATATAATTTTAACAACATCATTTAATTACAACGTTTGTGTATAGACTGTGAAAATAAATATATATTTAGTCAACACAAACATGACGCATTTAAGCTACAAAATGAAATAAATAGTAACTAATTACTCGACTGACTCACCGAATAACAGATAACAAATTAACTTTATTACACAGAGTTGCCATTACAAGTACAGATGTTCCTTCGGCTGATGAGACTCACATGTTGACACTAAGTTAAGAAAGACTTGCCATTCGACAGTGTTCTGAGCCATATCAGTGCAGTTTCTATAACCAATGACAATTTTCCAAAGACAAATCTTCATACAGCGTTTTACTATCGTTCAGGTCCACTGTTACTGACGATTAATAATTTCATCTACTCTGCCAGAAGAACATTGTACAACCTTTTGCATGCCTGCTGACAGTCGGATGCCTAGAAGTCAGCAGTCGATCCTCTGGGTTGTGAGACTGAGCGGACTTACTCGTAGATACCGACGTTTTGGAGAAGCATATTTTCAGCCCTGAAGATGGCGATAGTATTTTCATCCGGAACGTTGGTGTCTACTACAAGTTCACACAGCGTTACGACCCTGAATACCAACACTGACAGATGAAACATGCTGCTTCTGTTACCACGAGAGTTCTGCCTTATTTTCAATAGAATATCCTAACAGTAATTGCCTTCATTAGTTTATATTTCCATAATACGATATAATGTCTATAGATGAAAACTGTGTATAAAGTGAAATTCCATACGTTATGCAACACGTCTATAGACAGGATAGTCAAATCAAGGAAGATGTGATGCAGAGTCTAACTACGGTGGGGGTAACAAGACAGTTTACGTAATGGCATGCAGAATTCTTGTGAAAATTTGTTCTGGGAAGATGAGACTTTGAAGACCGAGTAGAATGACAGTTCTTCATACGTTATTAATGGTAAGATAATCATGTTTATTAAGAACTGAGAAGTGAGCGACTGTGGTGTTCTTCAAAGTACTATCGCAATTTGAGCCTGGAAAAGCTGAGGACAAAAACAGTCGGTAAGTTGACCGATATTCGAGTCAGGTACCACTAGACCAGAGCGTAGCTGTTGGACATCTTCAGTGTGTTGAGAAGAATATATGAACGTAGGAAAGAGGACTTAACAACATAACGAAAAAGAAAATACACACTGATAAAATTCATAATTTGTGCCCTTCATAAAATATTGTTATGGTGTAAAAACTAAAGGACAAAATGAATATGGCGAAAAGTATAAAGAAATAAGAAATACGTGCATTTAGTACCAAAATTTGAGATGACACCATCTGCGAAATGCAGGCGTAATTTGGATAGTAGAGAAATAGTGTGTGAGAATGTGGGCTGAATTAAGGTGACTCAGGACAGAAATAAATTTAAAGCTTTTGCTGACACTGTCATGAACCTTCTGGTCCCCTAAAAGGTGAAAAGTTTCTTAAGCAACTAAGAATCAAATTCTCTAGAAAGGCATAAAGCCTCTTTCGTTAGGTAGCAAGTTAAACATTTAGGCAGAACTTGGTATGCAATCTGTTCTATCTTAAGTTAAAAATATAAAATGTAGTATTTGTAAATTACAGTCGTTCGTATGAAGTTCAGACTTCCAACTTGTTTTTACAGTCGTGTCCAACGCTAGAATCAACTTCTTTACCAATCCGAGTGTTACTACGCGTAAGAACTAAGATATGGATGAATACACTATTTTATGTATATATTTTGAAATTGCAAACTTTTTGAAAAACTCGCAAAGACTTAGCACGTATTTTGTCCAGTCGTGCATGTATTCAAGGTCATTCAAAACCAAATAGGTCCGTGATAAAACTACTCAACAGTGGTCTCCTTAATATAGATATGTAGAGACTTAACTGAAAGTACTTCAAGGTGTCAACATTTCATGTAAACTTTGGCGTAGCGACCCGGATACTTAACCGTCAGGACATGGTCAGAGCTTCGCAGTGACAACAACCCTTTTGATTGGTAGAATCATCAGCGAGACGAGGCGCTGCTATTGGTCAGCATCATCTCCTCACGTGAAGAAGACACAAACACTTCTCTCATCTCTCTGTTCCGCAAAGCAGAAGCGTTCATTCAAACTTAGCGCCCTGAGATATTTTCCTCCCTACCGCTGAGATAACTCCACACTCCTATCCCCTTGATCAGTATCCCTCCAAGACAGAGGTTTACTTTAAGGGATGCCCTTAATAATCTCGAAGTTGACCTTCTTCTGAATGTTCTCATATAAAGATGGAGTTGTCATAGTTTCACATTCGTTCAAGTGTCTTCTAGTGCGTTCGACCTCAGGCAAGTGCGGTGAATATCATTACAGTAACTATGAAGAACGTATCATTGGTAGGGTACTTGACAGTGCTTTTCGTGTTCACTGGTGCTTTAGAGATAACCCCGAGGCATCACGATATCTCAGCAGACAAAGTGATCGAAAAATTTACATTAACAGAACTCGTAAATTCCAGCAGCAGATATGGAAGGGCCTATTCCGGAGATAACTACTTAGACGAAGCTCAAACTTCGTGTTTAAACACAAAAAGAGTTTTTTCGTGTTTCAAATACAAAGCACTTCGTTATCTGCATAAATTAGCTTCGCCTTCGGTTGAAAATACTCTGGCGTCTGATTCGGAAGAACTGAGAATGGCTGGAGGCATGATACACTTAGTCGGCAAATATGTCAAAACACTCTTCCCTGATTCACAACCCAGATCTTCAGATTCCGAATTGGAGCGACTCTATAAGTTTACGTTACGCCAGGCGGAAAGATTTGTGAGGACCCACGCTCTGGCCCTGAGGATACCCACAGAATCAGCTACAAACAGGGGCATGGATGCAGCGGAGGGTCCTAGGATTGTGGACGAAGACAATCCGCAGAAGGACCTACAAGACGATAACACCTTAACAGGTAGGCATGACGTTTTCGTAAACGTACATTTGTCTCTACTCTTAACCAGCACACCATGGGTCATATGGAGGATAGGAGTTAAAGCTTCACGTATTCGTAAATTAAGCACCAGAGCACACTCCAAATGCCTTTGGGCAGGTCCCTCAGCTGGTGCTTATGCCAAGTATCGAACCACGGTCACATAGAACAACAGATATATCATTGCTACCATCCCTAAATGTGCTTATTATTTATATTCGTAAAAGCACGTCTTTATATGATGTTAAATCAAAGCGACATTATCACACCTTCACTGGACATTCATTATGAGGGCATCAGAAATAGCTAATTTAAAATGTAAGAAAACCCCCAGTGCTGTCCAGTCAGTAAGGGGAAGAACCAATCGATTATAAAGGAAGCCGATGAGCACTGGTCGAGGACCATTAGGACAGCCTACCTAATCCAACCCACCTCCATTTCCGGAGCCAGATTTTTAAATACATATTTCGCGTGTCACCAGATTCAATTTAAAGATCACGTCTTAGGCAGGAACAGACTTCAAGATGTTACAATTGAAACTTTCATGGGGCTGAATATTATGACGATCAGCTGTATAAGCATTGAGTTACAATCCAACGTTTCAAAGGTTGTCTTAACCTCCGTCATCAGGGTAGATTTCATACGTACACGGCTGGCCGCCCGAGAAAATTTCATGGAAAAATTATATGTTGTTTGGTCGATACGTATCGCTTCCGACTGTCTACATGAAGAGAATCTTTGACGTGCGTGATGTTGAAGGGTTATTGCTCAGGTCTTAAGCAAAGAAGTGGGCCTGAAACGATTTATGAATTTCACGCTTTGCTACTCCACAAACACACATCCGTTCACAAAGCATTAATGCAGATACAAGTCTATCGTCACGAGGATAGATGACAGATTGAACTGAAGAGTGTTTCTCAACCGGGGGTCCGCAAATTGTACCTAAGGTCTGCGCTATTGGAGTAGGTTGTACTCTTTTTGATGTCATATCGTTGTTTTAAGATTTTCATCACATTTTCTGCTTGTATACTAGAGCAAGAAATATAAAAAGGAAACTGTACCTTCTATATTTTAGTCAGTTAACCACAGCATGGTACATCCTCAGTTACCGGGTCGAGAAGGCCCCGATATATAGAGTGTAGCTCTGAATGTACTGAATAAACAGTCTGGGATAGATGACAAGGAGTGGTCCTCCAGGTTGGGGGTTGGGCGGCAAGACTAACACCCCCCTGGCCGTAAAAGACAGCATGTTACAAAGTGTTAAGCGCGGCCTCCCACTAGGTGTCAGGCTATTGTGAACACGGTTCAAGAAAACCAGATGAGCGACTATCAGTTTCCCAAGAACGGTTTTGCTCCACAAAGTTATCTTAATGTTTTCAAATAAGATATATAGACATTTTACTGATCTAAGTTATATATCTGGTAATGTGCCTAGTTTTTGTACGTACAAAATTAACAAAACTAAATGAAATTAACTGAAGCTGCTTTTCATCATTCATCATCACCAATCCTTAGGGACTAGGCCTTGTGGCCTCTTGAAATTCAGAACTGCTTCATAAATAATGAATCCGATTTTATACATTCGGTAGGAATCCTTACGCGTTGGAGGGGTGGTTAGCCCGACGCCTACATAGATCTGCACAGCGCTGAAATACGAGGACAAACTTTCATCCTTTTGAGCAGGATTCGAACACGCAATCCCAGAATCCGAACGTCCAAGACCCATGTCCTAACCACGCGGTCACTAAGATCGACTGTAATTCGGATTAAAACAATTATTTTTCAGCAAAATTTAGTAGCTTTCTTCACAAGCTATTTTTTTTATTTAGTGTTCTGTCTGGCGACAGGTCCATATGAACAGGATCCTTCCATCCTTTTCTCGGACTGGGACCTGTTCATATACGTTCTTGGCAGATGATCCAGAAGTGGTTTGCCATTGCCTTCTTCTGTGTGTGAATGGAGTAATTGTTGGGATGCCACGGAGGAAAACTCCGTGTTGCCTAGACCACGGCCTTGCCCAACACAAGTTATAAATTCGGGCACCGCCGGGAATCGAACCCGAGACCCCCAGGATTACAAGGCCAGCGTTCTAACCGCTAGACCACCGTGGCGTATTGAGGTTAAGCGGTCAAAATGTTGACCTCGGTCTTCTGGGTTGTGCTTGCCTTTAGTTTGAATTCCTTACCCTGAAGATGGAGGCGATACGTACCTCCGAAACAACCTACAAGATCATACCGCATCACAGCTCACAGTCGACAATACAGTAAACTGTTTACCATGGTTTAGTATTTAAAACACAAGAGTTTTTCCTCTGGTTTTTTTTAACGATAATTATTCTAATTATGACAAACACAAACTGTGAAGCACGCTCCGTGCTTTACGAGTGTTGAACTGCACCGGATCACGGTTTACGTTCTGTTGCAGAGGGCCGTGGAAAGAAGAAGAAATTGGCTCTGTGGCTACCCCTGCTGTTCTTCGTGAAGCTGAAGGCGCTGCTCATCCCAATCCTACTTGGTGTCCTCTTCATCAAGAAACTGCTGATCCTGGCTGCCATCTTGCTTCCAAGCTTACTTAGTCTCCTGAAACTCTGCAAGCCCCATCAGGGACACAGCCACTCCGGTTGGAGTTCTGGACCAGATGTCTCCTCCGAATTCAGCTCGGGCTATGGCCACCCAGGCCCGTACCACGGAGAATATCACGGTCGCAGAACTGGCAGGTGGGACCCCCAGTCTGTGGCTTATCGAGGATATCATAGAACTAACGAGGAGCACACCGGCGTATAACATAGAGATGCAGGTATGAATAAAACGCATTTAGGACAATCTCTGAGAATTATCGCTGTCTGTAGATGGGATGTTGCGCCGTGTAGTCTGGTAGATGCTAGCAGTAAACTCCTTTGAAAGTCGGTCAATAACTACCATATATGTCGTAACATCCCACAGGACAGCCAACTTCATACTCGTCACCCTGAGAATCTGACATCTCACTTTCTTACTGTTTCCCCCATGTTCATATGCTCTTAACTCTTTTGTTACGTAAGTTCCCAACAGTCCAGAATCCTTAAAAATTGATTTCTTCCATCTCTTTGAGAATTCCTTGTATTCACAGAGGTTTGAGTCATCTTCGTCCTTCGATGTTTTACGAGTTACTTATGCACACATTAATACGATTAACATATAATGAGGAATTCATGTCGGTCCAAAATTAACTTCTTCATATGAAACTGAATTAGAAGTTTATGCACATTCTTATCTGTGTTAAAACGTCCAAAAGTTTTTGAGTAACATAAAATACAGATCTTATAAAGATACGCTTATACGATTTTTAACTCGAGCCATTTTGGGATATTTAAACTAAATTCGCAGAAAACATTTTCTGAAGTTTTCTATCTTCTGGGTCGTTGCGCCGTATAGCCTGGTAGAAGTTTACGGACGTTTCAGAAGTGCTTGTCGTGTCCAGGGCGATTATCGCCACCGTGACAACCTAAAATCTCACAAAGTAATTTCTGGCTCTGCACATTATCACCCAGGACTACAACCCTATAAGCTTTGCAACAATACATTTGTTGTATCTGTAATATAAAATCCTACAGACCCACGAGTGCTCTCCACTCGCTCCAGCTGCTAGTAGACCACGCAATGCATGCCTATATAACGCACAAAGTTATCAGCTGTTCCGCTGTTAAGAAACCATACGCGGTTTAATTCATAAATCAGTTTGGTATTTACAAGAATTATCACCAGCCTGGGACAGAGCACTGAATAAATGAAAATATATTTATCGCATCACTTTTACGACAAAACTTACTAAACAGAAAAACAAATCAGTATTTGTGGGAGTAAACTAACATTAAAGTATCCGTTACGGTGTCTCTTACGAAATTATAGGTACATGTACCAGACTAGGTCTGTAAACACTAACAATAATTAAATAAAAGTTCATTAAATATGTAAGATTTGAAGCTCCCACGGCGGTGAGTACAAAGATATCTTCTGGGTTGTAACGCCGTGCAGTCTGGTAGAGATTTATGAACGTTTCAGAAGTCCTTGCTGCCTCCATCATCGCCCTGATTAAGGCAGCAAGGACTTAAATTTCTACCAGACTGCACGGCGTTACAACCCAGAAGACAGACGTATTTTTATTGAAGTTGTGTGACATTAGACACAAGTAACTGAATTATTTTATTAGAGTTTATTTTTAAGAACCTTGGTTTAAGGATATGTATTTTCGCTAGTCTGAAATAAACATCATGGCCAATGATGTATGCAGACTCGCAAAGAATGCATTTTGGAAATGCGTGTACTCCTAGCTACGTACCGCATTCATTTCTGTTATAAATATATGACAGTAAAACACAAAACGTTGTTATATTTACGGTAACTGTAGCTTACTAATGGGGCACCGTGACACAATATCGCAGTTTTCATGTTTCGTTCCCGCAATCGGAGAGCCAGCTTGGTTTGCCAAGCAGAACACGTACGTAACTGGATAGTTTAATTTATAGAACGCAATGAATCGGTTGCTAACCTCATAATACACGTAACTACAACGTAAACTATCAATAAATTATAACTGTAGTATATGTCTTCATCTCTTCTAACAGTCACATAAAGTTCAACTGTAAATAATTTATACACGTAATTTCATGGTGAATGCACCAGGTCGTCAGGTCGCCTCTTTAATGATCAATTTATCTTTCTTCAAAAATATTTAATAACAGTTTTATATTATTAGTTAGTGTTCTGTGTGACGACAGGTCCATATGAACAGGATCCTTCCATCCTTTTCTCGGACTGGGACCTGTTCATATACGTTCTTGGCAGATGATCCAGAAGTGGTTTGCCATTGCCTTCTTCTGTGTGTGAATGGAGTAATTGTTGGGATGCCACGGAGAAACCGGGGAAGCCCCCGGAGGAAAACTCCGTGTTGCCTAGACCACGGCCTTGCCCAACACAAGTTATAAATTCGGGCACCGCCGGGAATCGAACCCGAGACCCCCAGGATTACAAGGCCAGCGTTCTAACCGCTAGATCACCGTGGCTCTCCAATAACAGTTATATTAGTTTAATATTTTCTTTTGAAGATACTGATGTCAAAACCTTTTCCATTCTGTAATTCCACGATGAAGAGTCCTTCGGAAGGGGATATACCGCCAGGAAGTCAAGAATTTCCAAGGCTTTTAAGGTACCCGAAAATTCAATGTCGTGTTCACAGCATCCTGTTGTTGTGAGCTACAGAAATACAGTCCACATTCTCATACTCCACTGCTTTAAGACCCCTTCTAAAATTACCCCCAATTCCACACTTCGGTAATCCTTGCAGGTTTTCGGACTGAAACATAGTGTAAACCCCCTCCCACCCCCTCATATGTGTCGGTTCCCAAAATAAAAAGAATTTTTACCTTCGTCACGTCATGGCAAGTTCTGGAGTCAACTTAATCCCATCTAGTACTAAGATTTAAAATGCATTATTTACTTTATTGAACAGTGTTCAAAACGCCTCTGTCACTAACGTGACTGGATTCATACTGGACTCCCATGGTTCGATTCCTGACATGTGCAGAGATTTATCTTCGTACCATATATGTAACGAGGGCCTGTTTTTTTGCGGGTAAAGTCGCCGGAACGCGAAGCTGACGAATAACCTACATCTGGAGCCGCGATATAGAATGCGCGCGATTCTTTCTGTCTGTGTACGTACAAAATACGCCTTCATAATGTGTTACTATCTTTTGTGTTCTGTCACGGCAATTAATTCTTGAGCTGAGTTCTTTGATTTATTTTTTTTATTTTTCAGAGTTGAAGACTTGAACATTAGTGGGTACGAGGCAAGAAACTGATTAAGTTGTTACGAGTGCTGGACAGTTCTGTGACAAACTCAATGAAGAACCACGGGCGAAGACATTCTCTTCAAGAACTTAAGTTTTTGAAGGTGAACAGCTAAGCTCAGGGGACACAGGCATATAAAAAAATGTTGAATTTTAATTTATTCTTTATTTACACGGACAATAACATTTTAAAAGTGAGTTAAATTATCTGTTAAGTATCGTAACGCTCAAATTTCTCTGTTTAGAAACGTCTTGACAAACGATCAGTGTCCAAGCAGGTTCGACGGGTTAAGACGCAAATTATGGCACAGTCGTTAATAAATTCCTTCATAGAATTAACGTGTCACGGAGTCTGAGTTAACTGAGACAGCGAAGAGTCATATTAAGTTAATAATTTATATTGTTATAATTTATAAACTTTATCTACTGTGATCCCTCTGGATCTTTTGTTAATAGCATTATTAATTCTCCAACACTTTGTGACAATGATCCGGTTATTACATTGCATGGCATTTCCCACTGTCTGTGGGATACGATGGCTTTAATTCCTTATTCCCGATATTTGTGCCAATCGTGATGTAAACAAGTAGCTTTTCCGTTCAGCAGTGTAACAATAACGTGTTGAATAAAGATGGGAACACAGTCAACTCCCGAAACGTCACTGTACAATCCCCTTTATGTATTTATAGCATAATGCTGGCTTGTGACGAAACATCGCTTGTTATAAATGTATTTTTTCATGAAATATACCTACAGACAATCATAGAGCAGAAAATTAAGGAAGTAAGGGGGGGGGGGGAATAGAAGGATTTTAGTCAAATATAATTCAGAGAATGGACAATCGAATTTTGTAAAGTTTATAAAATTTCTTAGAAAATTGCTAATCGTAATATAAATTGTTAGAAGACATAAAATATAAGTTAGTATTCCAATAATATATACAAGTTTTAATTGGAATTTCTGTATATGGTGTATATTTACCTAAATTCAATGCATCGGTGAAGTAATATAACTGTTTTTTTTAAAAAAAATATGACGCTATGTAGAATATCGGATGCTGTTTTCGGTTCTTAACAATACTGCTGTTTGTACTAAAAATAACGATCTAAATCAATCACAGCTATACATAACTCATCTTCAGCAATCTGTGACAATTAATGAGGTAAGAGATTACATTTGTCCCTCAGCCAATATTAATTTGTAAACACGTAATTTCTAAGTAAGATCATAACAAAACAACAAATGTTACCGTTCTGTATATAATCATAAAATAAAGCAGAAACTTTAAGCTCGCCTCCACGTTAAAAATAATTGGCTATGTTAAGTAGAACGGTGTTGAGTCCAATACATTAATGAGACCACTACGTTAAGTTCTGTGCTGTCAGCTCTGATTCAGTATTGTTTAGCTATTTCTTACAAATGCTGCGTCATAATTGTGCTTTTCATAAAATACTCGCATGTAATATAATTCATGCATCACATTAAACTTTCACAGTGGAAAATTGGATAACAGAAACGACGCCTATCTAGGCCAAGAGCCCAACAGGAATTGGCAACAAAAGCTAACAAAAAAATTAATCTTCAATAACAGAATTAAAATAATCTACAGTCCTACTAAAACAGCTGACAGTTTTCACCAAATCAAGAAATTTCCTTTTACTGTAGAACCCGAAGTTCCAACGTCTTTATTTCAAAATCCCTCCACGTGATCACGTACCTAAGGAATTTAATCGAATTCTCATCTTCAAAACAGATTTACTTAAATCTGGTTTCAATATTAGCAATCTATCCATCTACTTCTATTTCTTTAATGGGGTTTCTTTGGATTGTTTACCACAACAAAATTTGTGTATATTTCTTGTTACTGTAAATCGTGCTTTAGTTATTATAACCATACCAGATGAACATTATAAATTATAAAAGTTCTCGTATACAATTTTCCACGTATCAGAAAGATAAAAAAAATTATCAAACATTTTGTAGGAAGACCTATAGAGACCTAGGTGTAGACGGACGCATAATATTAAAGCGGTTCTTGTAAAGGCGAGAACGGAAATTTATATTTTCCATGAAACAAAAATAACTAAAATGTTAAACTTGAAGCTTACACGACAAATCGATGTGGATGTTCGACCAGGGTTATATTAACGTTAATTATGGTGGTGACGTGCTACAAAGAGTAAATATGCCTTTTTAACCATCTTCTTCGACGTGGTATAAAGAAGATGTTCTTCGGACTACAAGGAGTCTGTGGATCGCAACCACTGGACCGGAGACAACAAAGTAACGGATGATGGAACACGCAATTATTTATGTTACAGAAAGAACTGACCCAGATGTACAGCAAGTTCCATTCAATAGTGACTTGGACAAAATCATTTGTCATACGTATAGAGATGAAAACATTTGTGTGGCAAAAGTCATCATGAAATAGCACGTTTGTCCACGTTTGAAACTCACAAAAGACTTACGTAGCCTCAAAACCTTAAAAAAATAATACAACGATCAACATCAATCTCAAAACGAAACAATAAATAAAAGTAGGCGGTAGAAACTCGGAGCGAGTCCTTAAAGGCGGTGAAGTAGACAGACACAAAGCGACCATCTGTTACTGAAAACAATTTACCTGTTGTTCTGTCCGTCATTCTAAGAAAAGAGCTGTAGACGGATGAGAAGGCAACTTGAAGATGCATCTCGCACACGTGTAGTCAGTTAAGGCTTTGATCGGGATGTTCTTTTGTTAAATCTTATGTGGTACCGCCTGATTCGACTTCTAATGGTTAAGTGAAGTGTTTTCTTCGCGGTACGGTCTGGATTCGTAAATATTATGAAGACGAGCTTCGGCTTCAAAGGGTTAACCAGCTGATTTTCGTAATGGTGAGGTGTAGTGTTTTCTTCGCGGTACGGACTGAATTCATAATATTCAGACGATCTTCGGCTTCAAGGGGTTAAGGGGCAGAGCACACCAAAGAAACCGTGTCCCAACTCGTCGGAAAGAATTAGAGGAGTCCCCCGTCCAACTGCACACTCAGCCCAACAAAAAACCAAGCACTCGAAACTTTCTGTCCCAAACCGGAAATGACGTGCGCATACAGATGACGTCATAATTCCAATCATTCGCGATCTCCTGTGGCTTTCCTACAATAATTTACGTCAATTGTCTTTTCGGCAAGCACACAAATATGTCTGCCTAGTTTGAAGTAAAAATGCAAATTAATGTCGACGACTTTTACAAATTGCGGAACGAACTCTCACGAAAACAGATCTGTACGTAGTAATTTGGGGTGTCAGGCATATTCTCTCGTAGGCAAATCACTAGCATATAACACTATTCATTTTATTTTTTCGTAATTTGTTGTTTCCGTGTTCGAATCTGACTGAAAAACAAACAATTTTATTTGCAAAAAAACAATGAAAAAATACTTTTAGAAGCGTTCGTGTTTTGCAAAGTATGCCTAATACGTATACAAAATACAATTTAATATACTAGCCGTTTTTGAGGCCTGGCATCTGTAATCTGTAGCAAATTCAACCTATGATTAAGTTAATGTAAAATTAACTAACAGTGAAACTATTTCGTGCCAATATTGTGTCCAACCTGTGAGTCCATTTACATTCGGAATAAAATTTTCCGATCATTGTGGGACATAATGTTTGTATTTCTCTTTAAGTCTTCACCATCGCCTAAATGTTTAATTAAGACGACTTAATCAACAGATAAAACAATTGGTATCACTAAATTTTTAGGTTATATCATTACCCTTTAAAATTTAACTGGTAAAATACTTAGAAATATAGATGTAGAAAAATGCATAACGATGAACATCAAAATCTGTAACTTACAGGCGACTAAGGTGAATTCTCAGGTGTAAACTCAAATTGAAGCTCTATTTTCGGAATAAATCTCACGATTTTCCCAGTTTATACGCCTTTACATGAAGGCTATAAGTAGCCTATTTCACCTAATAACGACCTGAACTTATATTCGGGAGGTAACCAGGAGTTTTCCCACGGTTTTCCTCAGTCTCTCCGGGCAAATTCCTTTACAATCATTGCTCAAATATTTCACAATCATATCCTTTAAAGTATATTTACCCCTCTCATCCGTCAATTCGACGTTATATAACTTACACAGCTGAAACAGAATTATAAAACATAATACGAACCAATACTCGTATGATTACCGAGAAGACTCAACATGTCTATATCGTACGTGCAAAATAGCACAATCTCTACACCAAATTTCATCAAAATCCTTCCAGTGGTTCTCGAGTTGAATCGATTTGATAGACGGACAGACAGTAGTCTTTGGCCGTATCGGTAAAATATTAAATTCAAAACTAACTTTAAAACAGTCTTTCCTCCAAAATCCTTCTTGGTTTTCCAAATGGCCGCTTTCATTCGATCTCATAAACCGAAATGTTGTCTTTAAATTGATTCTAAACCAAGAATAAATGTTGAGTTCGATTAGCTGTCGTCTGCATGCTGACTTGGTCCGTGAGGTTGAAGAATTGCACTTAACTACAGGTCAGATAATCTTCAAAAGAAAAGTTTGAGTTATCGGGTACACGTTTCAAGTCCTAAGTTGCCTATTCACCTGACCTGTTTCATGTACGCAATTTACGTTCACTATAATCGATAATAAATTTCACGGAGCAGAAGTCAGCGGCCATTCCTCCGCACAAATAGTTTCCTGATTGCTTGCTAGATGGCTCTGGCAGTCAAATCAGGATGGAGTAGGAATTGCACAGAGTCCGTGGGCTGGTCACTCACTACTCATAAATGCACGCTTCAAAGACTTACAAACCTCCCTAGAGGCGGCCAACACCCACACCGGGTCGTAGAGCCACGTAAGAACAAAAATTGTTAAAGCAGGTAGGATATATAATTACGATTGGGCTTTAAAGTGTTAATTAACTAAAACAGCACATGCCTAAACTGAGCACGCATATAGTCCAGACCTGTTATAGTCTTGTCCAATGATAACACTGAACTAAGTGCAGTATAAACTGAATTGCAGGTTATGTGGGACCCAAATAAAAACACAGTTCTGTATTATATTGTAATCTGCACATTTATCTCTATTTATGTATTTCTACTGCCACGATGGTCTAGCGGTTAGAACGCTGGCCTTGTAATCCTGGGGTCTCGGGTTCGAGGAAAACTCCGTGATGCCCGGACCACGGCCTTGCCCAACACAAGTTGTAAATGTGAGCACCTGGGACCCCAGTATTACGAGCCCAGCGATACTGTCATTATAACATAAAATGTAAAAAAATAGTGAAGAAATTAAATAAAGTCTACTGTTACAAATTACTAATGTAAAGTGACATTTTGTAAACTAAAGAGCACAGCACAAGATCAAAGGCGATTTGGGACGGACGTGCTGTGACACATTTTAAACCGGCATCTACTAAGATCACTGTCTTCTGGGTTGTCGCGCCATGTAGTATGGTTAAAATCTACCATACTACATGGCGCAACAACCCAGAAGACAGAAATCTTCAGGCTCACCTCAAATCATACTCAGCGTCTACTAATTTACTTGGAAGGATCGACATTAAACATAAATCCAATAATAAGTCGTGATACGTGGTCCGAGTCGAGTAGATTACCATCGAATCTACCGACTCAGAAATCAGCCATCGTCACAGGTTTTTATGGTTTTCTCAGTCCCTCCAGCCAAAAGCTGGAAGAGTACCTTAAATTAGGTCAATAACAAATTTACGATTCACTAATCATCTTTCTGTTCAATTCTATTCATTTGAGCATCATAAAATAAACAAACGCTAAACTTTTCAGTGCACACACTGTGCAGTAGACACTCATTTCACAAAACGGCAACTCCGGGAACAAACTGCGGCATTTTAATGCTGAGGAATCTGAAAAGGTGTTTCTAGTCTCTTACTTTCATTATGCTTAAAGAATTACGAGAGTGCAAATGCTCCAGCCCTCAATATATAAGACGTGGAACATGCCCCACTAGAAATCTACAAATGTCTTGCAGAAAAATTCATCATATCTGAGGAACAGAAGACACTTTTGCTACTTCCTCAGAATTTAATAAATACAGTTACATTAATTTCAAAGAAGCACAATTAATAAAAATGGCTTACCGCATTAAAGGTTCCAAATTCTGCTTTTGTACATCAGCATTTAATTTCTTGGAATGTACAGCTTCTCCAATCTCACGCATCGTCGACTCTTTCAGAACCTTAGTATGTGACTGCAGAAGATCCAGCTTCTTTGATAACTCCACACCTGTAACATTTTATGAGTGTTTTAATTATCTGTACAGCATCTACTGACAGAGTACTCAAATGTCAAATGATCCGCAACTTATCTCTATATATGTAACAAAATGATTTACCACCAAACCTAACCTAACTCTCAGTCTAAACCCATACATTTGCAGATAATACTAATAATAATATTTCTTATCAAGAAATCTGCATGAATTATTTTTTTTGCTAGCTTCAACAAATGGATTAAGGCCAATAAACTCATATTAAATGCTAACAAAATACTTTCATAAAATTATATTAAGTTAGGTATAGAGTATGAGAATAAAACAACTAAAGAAGAAGATACAAGTAAATTTCTTGGCCTACAAACCAACAAGAATTTAATTTGAAAACACACGATCAATATATTATCCCCAAAACAAGCACAAGCTCTGCTATGAACTGTCACATCACTAATGAAAATAAAAACTTCTAAAACTTTGTTTACTACCTTTCAATCATGTCATATGGGATTATTTTCTGGATAAACTCAAAAGACAGCAAAAATGTATTTCACATTCAAAACAAACTCATTAGAATAAATGGCAGGCACTAAAGTGAGAGCTTAATACACGAAATTGTTTAAGAAATTTAATAATCTTCCACAAGCCAGCGAATTCTTGCTCTCATTATCATATGTAGTGGACGACAGTAAAATTTCAAACAAATTCAGATATCCACAATATAAATACAGATATAACTTTCATGTACCAAAAACTAACCTCAACAAACATCAAAAAGTTCATTATAATGGAATAAAGCTATTCAGTAATCATCCCCCCACCATAAAACGACTAAACAACTTTATAAAGTTCAAATCCAGCACTGAAACTTACATCACTCCATATAAAATTTACCTCAGCTATAACTTCTCAGGAAATATACATAAATGTATGCTTTCGTGTGTAATTATTTTTGTAGTACTACTGCAGTTAACTGTCGTAACTATGTAATTTATATTTGTATCAGAAGCAAATACTGTGCTAAGACATTCTACATCCTTGACTAGGGCCAGTAAAAGGTCTATGGAATGTAAAATCCTATTCTATTATATTCTAAGCCACCCATTCAAACTAATTTTATCACGCTTTAGTGTAATCTGATCTCATCAACGCCAAACAGTTTAGGTAATGATAGTGCAACGTTAAATAACCTAAAATCCAGACTCTTCTTAGACAACCTTGGCAGCACGTACGTAGCGAAGACAACGTAAATAAACATAATGTCATATAATTCAAGAAGCCGCAGGAAGATGTCGTGTTGAGAACGGTGTCCGCCTTGTGCTGCCATCTAGTGGCAAAAGGGCGCACTAAAGTTTCTAATCGGAAAAGACATCGAAGTTTATGTAACACATTACACCCAAAAAGAATTCATCATTTTCCATCGTATAACTTTTAAACTCTTCACACTCTCGTAGTAATTCATTAAGGAACAGATATTTGGAAGTGACAAGAATTTTAAATTGCTTTAATCGTCTTCGTCACTGTGTAATACTATTGTGTCAGAAACGAAAGAACACTTCTTTTTGTAGGCTTATAACTAACTAGCTGGCTTAGGGAACGTGGATGTTCATCACCGAAGTAACCAAAGCCCTCCACAGATCCCGCTTGATATTATCCTCCCATCTACGTCTAGGTCTTCCTAGTGGGTTGTAGGCCTATTCGTGTAGTATTAATTTAGTTTCAAATGGCAAACTGTAGAGCTCCAGAGTCTTTCTTAAATCCTCTCTCCACACTTTCACAACCTTCTTCTAGAATATTCATTTTAATACAATCCTTCCATATATTCCCCCCCCCTCCCCCCAAAGTTTCCGAGTCAACGTTCAATTCTGTTTCGTGTATTTATCGTGGCTGAATTGTCCTAACAATAATAGGTTATTATTATTTATTTAGTGTTCTGTCTGACGACAGGTCCATATGAACAGGATCCTTCCATCCTTTTCTCGGACTGGGACCTGTTCATATACGTTCTTGGCAGATGATCCAGAAGTGGTTTGCCATTGCCTTCTTCTGTGTGTGAATGCCACGGAGAAGCATACGTGTAAGCATATCATTTACCCGGAAATTAAGAAATGGAATCCCAGCTCAGGATTTGAGTATTGTGTACTGAAAAGTTAAAACGGGAGATAAATTAAAGATAAGCTTCGTATGCCTGTTTGTAGATGAAAAGATAATTCGGCTAATCTCTGTCTAATATTTCATTTTTGAAAATTAAAATGTCGGTTCTAAATATTCGTGATACAGTTTTTTGTTTTTGTCAGTCCTGCGTCCATAACAGACTGTATTTCACATAGGCACAAAGAGTGATGATCCAACCATGGTCCCAAGGGATTCTGGTCAATGCTGGTGAGGGTATGTATA